TAAAATAAGTGTAAGAAAAAAAAATTGTATCAGAAAAAAAAATTGAATCATAATTTCCTGTCAATATGCACATCTACATAGTATGTCCTTATTATCTACACAGTTTCATGAAATTCTGTTGTGTGGTTTGAGAGGAGTTGCGATGACAAAAGGTTGCAGTAGTATATTGGGCAAATAAGTTCAAAGGGGCGTAACTCCTGGAAAAAAAATTGAATCGTAATTTCCTGTCGATATGCACATCTACATAGTATGTCCTTATTATCTGAAAAGGTTTCATGAAATTCTGTTGTGTGGTTTGAGAGGAGTTGCGATGACAAAAGGTTGCAGTAGTATATTGGGCAAATAAGTTCAAAGGGGCGTAACTCCTGGAAAAAAAATTGAATCGTAATTTCCTGTCGATATGCACATCTAGGTAGTATGTCCTTATTATCTGAAAAGGTTTCATGAAATTCTGTTGTGTGGTTTGAGAGGAGTTGCGATGACAAAAGGTTGCAGTAGTATATTTGGCAAATAAGTTCAAAGGGGCGAAACTCCTGGAAAAAAAATTGAATCGTAATTTCCTGTCGATATGCACATCTACGTTGTATGTCCTTATTATATGAAAAGGTTTCATGAAATTCTGTTGTGTGGTTTGAGAGGAGTTGTGATGACAAAAGGTTGCAGTAGTATATTTGGCAAATAAGTTCAAAGGAGCGTAACTCCTGGAAAAAAAATTGAATCGTAATTTCCTGTCGATATGCACATCTACATAGTATGTCCTTATTATCTGAAAAGGTTTCATGAAATTCTGTAGTGTGGTTTGAGAGGAGTTGCGATGACAAAAGGTTGCAGTAGTATATTGGGCAAATAAGTTCAAAGGGGCGTAACTCCTGGAAAAAAAATTGAATCGTAATTTCCTGTCGATATGCACATCTAGGTAGTATGTCCTTATTATCTGAAAAGGTTTCATGAAATTCTGTTGTGTGGTTTGAGAGGAGTTGCGATGACAAAAGGTTGCAGTAGTATATTTGGCAAATAAGTTCAAAGGGGCGAAACTCCTGGAAAAAAAATTGAATCGTAATTTCCTGTCGATATGCACATCTACGTTGTATGTCCTTATTATATGAAAAGGTTTCATGAAATTCTGTTGTGTGGTTTGAGAGGAGTTGTGATGACAAAAGGTTGCAGTAGTATATTTGGCAAATAAGTTCAAAGGAGCGTAACTCCTGGAAAAAAAATTGAATCGTAATTTCCTGTCGATATGCACATCTACGTTGTATGTCCTTATTATCTGAAAAGGTTTCATGAAATTCTGTTGTGTGGTTTGAGAGGAGTTGCGATGACAAAAGGTTGCAGAAGTATATTTGGCAAATAAGTTCAAAGGAGCGTAACTCCTAGAAAAAAAATTGTATCGTAATTTCCTGTCGATATGCACATCTACGTTGTATGTCCTTATTATCTGAAAAGGTTTCATGAAATTCTGTTGTGTGGTTTGAGAGGAGTTGCGATGACAAAAAATTGCAGTAGTATATTAAAGTAAATAAGTTCAAAGGGGCGTAACTCCTAGAAAAAAAAATTGAATCGTAATTTCCTGTCGATATGCACAACTACATAGTATGTCCTTATTATCTAAAAAGGTTTCGTGAAATTCTGTTGTGTGGTTTGAGAGGAGTTGGGATGACAAGAAATAGGACTGACGGACTGACGGACTGACGGACTGACGGACGGACAGACAGACGGACGGGTCAAAAACATTATACCCTCTGCAACTCGTTGTGTGGGGTATAATTAAAAAAAGAAGATTGTGTGAACTCGGTTCGCATTCAATTCGAATTAGACGTACGTGTGAACAAGGCATTAAACAAGTGACAAATATACATTCAGTAAATAATAAAATTGAAAAGAATCCACAATCAAAATACTGCTGCGTAATTATGGTAATAAGTAATTCTCCTTGGTACAATTTAACCTTACTCTTGGATTGTTAAGAATACAAACTAAAATATTTCATGTTTCTGCACAATGCCTGAGCAGTGTGAGCAATATGCATCAATATCATGAATTCCAACTTTCTTTATATACAACTTCATGCAAAAAGTTTCTGATAACTAGGCATACTTCTTAGTGCACAATCATATATCGCCTTTTGTAGTAACAGTTACACAGATTCTGACATATGATCACATATCATGATCATAGTTCTGAAAGCATCGTTAAACAGTCTCTAAAAATTGCTAGACCGATAGGCACACTTAATAACAAATAATATTCATGTATTGTAACTGCTGGCAAGTTTATAATAATTCCTGTCAGAAAGCTGAACCAAAACTTGTCGGACTAGTCGACATGATGACCCTTGGCATAAACAATCTTCAAAATTGATCATATATGTAGATATACATGTAAATATCTTCATAACATCATAGTAGTCTAGAGTTTCATTGCTGTTATGGAATTATTGTGGTGAATAGACAATCCAGTTGCTACAGAGAATCATGTATTGTACATGTACATGTATGCATTGCCTCTTCTAGTATTAGCCATTCCCAAAGATTGGAATCAAGCTGAAATAAAAACAAATACAAATAATTTGCTTATTTTGACAAATACAATGTAGCAAAAAAGCTCCATGTCTAAAATCTTTATGTATTAGTTTTGTCCATGTTCATTGATGCTGTGATAACTCATGCTTATATTCTCTGTTATAAAAAAAGATGTGGTGTGATTGCCAATGATTGAGACAACTCGTCACAAGAGACGGAATAACACAACAGGTTTTAAGAATCAAATTTTCCAAGGTCCTTGCCTTGCCAGGCTTTTGTTCAGAATAACATGTCTACCTGTGTATGCAAATTGTAAAGAAATATAATAAGAAGATGTGGTACGAGTGCCAATGAGATAACTCTCCTTCCATAATAGGACAATAAGAGCTACGGTTGTGCAGCTAGGTCTGAATGAATTAAAAGTTTGCACATAATTTCCAACAAAAGTATGATAAAGACATAATCTTTCAATCCGTTCAATTAAGGTCTAGAGCTGGCATATCAGTTAACTGCTAGTAGTCCTTTGTTAATTTATGTATCATTGTCATTTTGTTTAGTTTCTTTTGTTACCTATTCTGACATCAGACTTGGACTTCTTTTGAACTGAGTTTTACTCTGCGTATTGTTGTGTGTTTGATTTTCTACATTGGCTAGAGGTATAGGGGAGGGTTGAGATCTCAAAAAACAATGTTTTACCCTGCCGCATGTTTGCACCTGTCCCAAGTCAGGAGCCTCTGGCCTTTGTTAGTCTTGTATGATTTTCAATTTTAGTTTCTTGTGTATATATCTGAGTTTAGTATAAAGTCCATTATCACTGAACTAGTATACATTTTTGTTTAGGGGCCAGCTGAAGCACCCCTCCGGGTGTGGGAGTTTCTCGCTGCATTTAATTTGAAGACCCATTGGTGGCCTTCGGCTGTTGTCTGCTCTTTGGACGGGTTGTTGTCTCTATGACACATTCCCCATTTCCATTCTCAATTTTATTTGAAATTGTAAGTGAGTTAAAATATCTTGATTACGGTTTCACTGTCTTCCATAGTCCGAGATTACTCTGACGTCCATCCGCTGTTATGCCAGACACAGCCCAAGCTTGTCTGGCAAAACAGCCGTTTGACGTCAGAGTAATCTCGGACTATGTCTTCAATTGCTAATATCATAATAAAAAACATATATTTGTGCTTTAAAAAATTGTTATAGGAATTAAGAAAAAAAAACTGTAACTTGTTGAAAACGTAAAGACTATAAAGTACAAAGTTACCTCTTTTCGTATTTTTTTTGGCAGAATTTTCATGGAAAAGTTGTTTACCAGCATCAAGTTGCTGAAGGAAATGCATAGAAATGATTCTAGAACACTTCACGAGTGTTTAAATATGAAAAAAATCACAAAATGAAACATCGAAAGAGTTGTTTATTTAATAACTGGAAATTGAAAAGTCCTTGTAAATGAAAAACAATTACGGTGTGAGACGCTTCACAAATTCGTACTTAATATTTTACAAAAATATGCGATGGAAGTTAAATAATGCCGTCCTTTAGCAAATTATTGATAAAGTATTAATCTAAATATTGTTTGAAGCACCTTTAGCTAAATTAAAGCACATGTAGCAGTCTGTAACACCAAAGGCAAAGCCTGAACTAAAATCACAAAGGAAACCATCTTAAAATGACCTTGACATCGACTAATCAGATCTCTAGTTTTATTTGCATAAATAACAACAACTTGATTTGACAAGAAGGTCAGTTACGAGATAAAGGGAATAATATTAACAAGAATACAAATGAGCATACATTTAATTTAGATGATTTAAATAATCACAATCATCTCAAACAAAACAAATAAATTGATTAATAATAATTACCTTTGAATTATCAGAATCCACCAAATTTAAAACGTCCTTGATTTACGTTTTGTCTACGAAGTTAAAACTACCGCAAACTGAGACTTCAACTCCATGTCATATTAGTCACAGCCGTTATACAATATTCCTGCGCTTTTTGCCATATGGCAAATGTAAACGACTTGTAATAAGAGATTTTCGGCGATGAAATAATTGATACAATTATTCTTTGACATCTTAGCCAAAAGCACATGGGATAATAAACTACAATAAGGATATGTATTGAGCACTACTTCCTATGTGCAACTTCAAAACTTTTGGTTGGTTCGACGATCATTTAAGGTTTTTCTGGTCATATTTTTTGTATTCAAGAATTAAAAGTATGAAAAAAGTGTTCAATTAGTTATAAATAACATAATAGCCAGCTAGATAATAACAATGGCACCAATTTCAGCATTTATTGGGTAGAACACAAATCTTGGGTGCTCGCATAAGGCAGCTTAGTAACTGCCTAAAAACTGGATTAAAATAAAACCAACTGCTCTCAATTTTGTTTTCGAAGCTCTGGTCCAAATCCATGGGTAATAATACCAACTTTGACTTTTCTTATCATCTTCTTTTTAGAATTACTGGTACTCACATTTCTCTCATGGCTAGATACTCTTGTTCTGACAGAACCTGTTGAGGGAAAAAGGGTAACTCATTGTCACTGATCCATCTGTAATATAAAAATTGAACAGAATATCATTGTTCTGAGGATATAAACATGTACAAATAAAAAAGATGTTGCAGTTAGAGCAAGCTAAGCTGATATGATATGCCAAATGAAAGAACCTTAGTGAGTGCGCTCACATACCCCACTTCCCCACATTGTTATTGGAGAAATAAAATAAGTGTAAGAAAAAATAATTGTATCAGAAAAAAAAATTGAATCATAATTTCCTGTCAATATGCACATCTACATAGTATGTCCTTATTATCTACACAGTTTCATGAAATTCTGTTGTGTGGTTTGAGAGGAGTTGCGATGACAAAAGGTTGCAGTAGTATATTTGGCAAATAAGTTCAAAGGGGCGTAACTCCTGGGAAAAAAATTGAATCTTAATTTCCTGTCGATATGCACATCTACGTAGTATGTCCTTATTTTCTGAAAAGGTTTCATGAAATTCTGTTGTGTGGTTTGAGAGGAGTTGCGATGACAAAAGGTTGCAGTAGTATATTGGGCAAATAAGTTCAAAGAGGCGTAACTCCTGGTAAAAAATTTGAATCGTAATTTCCTGTTGATATGCAAATCTACGTAGTATGTCCTTATTATCTGAAAAGGTTTCATGAAATTCTGTTGTGTGGTTTGAGAGGAGTTGCGATGACAAAAGGTTGCAGTAGTATATTGGGCAAATAAGTTCAAAGGGGCGTAACTCCTGGAAAAAAAATTGAATCGTAGTTTCCTGTCGATATGCACATCTACGTAGTATGTCCTTATTTTCTGATAAGGTTTCATGAAATTCCGTTGTGTGGTTTGAAAGGAGTTGCAATGACAAAAGGTTGCAGTAGTATATTGGGCAAATAAGTTCAAAGGGGCGTAACTCCTGGAAAAAAAAATTGAATCGTAATTTCCTGTCGATATGCACATCTACGTAGTATGTCCTTATTATCTGAAAAGGTTTCATGAAATTCTGTTGTGTGGTTTGAGAGGAGTTGCGATGACAAGAAACAGGACTGACTGACTGACGGACAGACGGACGGGTCAAAAACATTATACCCTCAGCAACTTGTTGCGTGGGGTATAATAAAGCATGAGAATTGGCTCATTAACACAGTTTATCATGCTGCACCTTTGACAACATGCTTTACATAAAGACCAAATTACACAAAGAGTACTTAAAATTATAGACAAAGACATTTTTCGTGACAAAAAGACTCTAGTTTTTTAATCAATTTTGATAATGTATCAAGTCTTTCTTACCAAATTACATTAGTAAAACCTACTACAATTACTCTAAACTCAAGACTAAACTTGAGAAGCATTTTAAAGATGCCAAAGCAATCTTTTCTAAACAACAACATGATGTTAAATAAAACATTTTATTTGCAAAGTCATTCTTTTGGTGATACCTTTAAGCAACAAATAACATCAAAATCAAGGAAAATCAAAAATGTTTAAAAGTTGTCTTCCAGTTGTTACCATGAAGAGACAGATACCTCAATGATTTGCCATGCTGTTACCATAAAGAGGCAGATACCTCAATGATTTGTCATGCTGTTACCATGAAGAGGCATGCATGCAGATACCTCAATGATTTGCCATGCTTTTCATGCTGATGCTATGTTTTTCAACCCGATGCTTAAAATTACATAAATCAAAAAGTATGTGTTTTCTGACTACTTCCACTGACAGCTACTTAGAAAATAACAGACGATTATTCCAGTTCACACCACTGTTTTTGTCTTTTGACCCAGTTGTCACCAACCTTTTGCTGACCATTCATGCCTAGTGTAGATTTTATTTCACTTCAAGTTTTATGGAATCAGTAATACTACTTGCATTATCTATTGAATGGGTTATAAATTTTTAAAAAATCTGCAGTTCCTCTACAGGAAAATAAGAACTTTTAAGTGATGACCTTTGACCTTGCAGGAAATTTAAATTTCTAAAATTGTCCTCTCCGCCACTCCATTATATGCAACAAAGCCATCATCAAGAGATAAATGATTTTTATTATTCTTTCCAACCAAAAAAATGTTCTTAGATTTAACCAAAAAAACAAACAAACAAGAATGTGATCATAGTACTATCATTTTCTATGTTCAGTGGAACGTGAAATTGGGGTAAAAACTCTAATTTGGCATAAAAATTAGAAAGATCATATCATAGCTATAGGGAACATGTGTACTAAGTTTCAAGTTGATTGCTCTTCAACTTCATCAAAAACTACCTCGACTACCTCGGACAAACAAATGATCAGACTAACGGACGAACGAAGGGACCAACAGACCAGAAAACATAATGCCCCTAAATGGGGCATTTTAAATAAATGGGGCATAAAAATTCATTGCAATAGTAATATTTTCTTCAATTTTAAATAGAATACTTAGCATACCTACACATATAATAATTACTGTTTGTTTTGACTGCACTTATTCCTTGAATGCCAACATATTTTGACCTGTATTTTGTCAGCAGATCAAAAGATGTTGGCATTAAGGAATAAACCCATGGATCAAGATTTAAAAATGGAAGGGTTGAGAGTAAAAATCCTGTTTCATGTTTTTGTCCCTCATAGATCTCTTAAAATCATATACTTGTAAAAGCAGGACTAAGCTATTATGAAATTTTGAAAATATCAGTTCCTTTATCTGACCATGAAAGACTTTCATAAAATGAAATTAACTTACAGATTTGTCAAGTTTCCATTGATGTTATAGAAGGCATCATAATAAATGTACTTCATTGGTGTATCTTGACTGTGTAACCTCAATGTTATTAGTGTATTCAAATTGGTAAAGCTCCTACTGGTCAGGACTTCAAGGTGATTGTGTATTAAATCCCTGAAACAACAAATCAAACTTGATTAAGTATAAATCTTGGAAATGTCAAACTCTGATTTAACAAATATACAGACTCACCATTAGCATATTGCAGTATACAGTTAAAACTTACAAACAGACATGTACAAATCTTTTGGATTTACATATAACTTAAAAATGTCTTACCAAGGCCAAAATAAATAAACTAGTTTATTTCCCCTCATCCAGACTGCGTAAAAAAAAAAACCTAAGAGTTGAAAAATCATTTGCCCCCCAAAAAATGTTTTTTTTTTTCATTTCCAAAAATCATTCTTTTTGATTCTGACATTGATATTATTGGAGATCCTACTGGAACTCTCTGGCGTTATTGATCAATTTAGCTCTATGTATCAAGGAACAAATGTATGCTTCAACTGATTATAAGTACAAGGACTAGTCAAAAGTGTTACCCATCTGCAGGAACAAAAGAGAAATCTGACATTGGTCAGATATAATCATGTAACATGTGCTTGACCACATGTCATGGTTGCCATTTCCATTTGTTTAGTCATAATGTGAAGAAGCCTCAAGAAACATGACCTAAACATTAACAGTCTTCAGATATTACTTAGTTTAAACAAGAGTGCACACACTGAAATGTATCACCTTCTTTTCTAATCATTGATATTATGTTGATAGTCCTAAATATAAAGCTTTATTACAACTGTCACATAAAATAATTAACATTAACCAAGAAAACTAAACATTGACCAATGAACCATGAAAATGAGGTCAAAGTCAGATGAACCATGCCAGGCAGATATGTACAGCTAACAATTCTTCCATACAACAAATATAGTTGACCTATTGCTTATAGTTTAAGAAAAACCGACCAAAACACAAAGACTTTACACTGAGCAATGAACCATGAAAATGAGGTCAAGGTCAATTAAAAACCTGCATGACTGACATATAGATCATAAAATATTTCCATACACAAAATATAGTTGACCTATTGCATATAGTATTAGAAAAAAAGACCAAAACTCAAAAACTTAACTTTGACCACTGAACCATGAAATTGAGGTCAAGGTCAGATGACACCTGCAAGCTAGACATGTACACCTTACAATCATTCCATACACCAAATATAGTTGACCTATTGCATACAGTATATGAAAAACAGACCAAAACACAAAAACTTAACTATAACCACTGAACCATGAAAATGAGGTCAAGATCAGATGACACCTTCCAGCTGGACATGAACACCTTACAATCCTTCAATACACCAAATATACTAGACCTATTGTTTATAGTATCTGAGTTTATCTTCATCATTACTAATATTCAAGATAAAAACCAAAAACTGCAAAATTTCCTTAAAATTACCAATACAATGGCAGCAACCCAACAATGGGTTATTAGATCCATCTGAAAATTTCAGGGCTAATGGAACTTCACCTAATGAACACTTTTACCCCATGTCATATTTTGCTGAACATGCTTTTGTTTTTGAATTATAAGCCAAAAACTGCATTTTACCCCATTGTTCTATTTTTAGCCATGGCAGCCATGTCTTTTGACAAAACAGAAAATAAAACACAAACTTTATTCTAGATACCCTTAGGATCATTCAACTTATGTTTGGCTGGAATTGATTCAGTAGTTTCAGAGGAGAAGATGTTTGAAATAGTTCACACTGGATGGAAGACAACAGAAGCCAAGTGATGGCAAAAGCTCACAGTTCCTTCGAAACAGTGAGCTATAAATGTGTTCAGTGATAATGGATGTCATACGTATCAAATTTGGAATGTGACTGTAGAATACTAATAATGTATCAGATTAAGTATTGGATCATCAAATACTAATAAAGTATCAGATTTAGTATTGGATCATCAAATACTCATAAAGTTTCAGATTTGGTATGGGATCATAAAGTACTAATATAGTATCAGATTTGGTATCCGCCAGGGATCATAAAATATTAATAATGTATTAAATTTGGTATGGGATCATAAAATACTAATAAAGTACCAGATTTGGTATGGGATCATAAAATACTAATAAAGTATCAGATTTGGTATCCGCCAGGGATCATAAAATATTAATAATGTATCAAATTTGGTATGGGATCATAAAATACTAATAAAGTACCAGATTTGGTATGGGATCATAAAATACTAATAAAGTATCAGATTTGGTTTGACACCATAACATACTTACAAATGTATCAGATTTGGTATGCCATCAAAAGTTCCTTGATCAATCCTGGATATCTGATTATTGTGTAACTCTCTGAAATATATACAATAGAATAATATAATTTATGAGAAAGATTGTATTCAAATACAAGAACATTGAAATTATAAATTATGTAGATAACAGAAAATCTTAATTTTCAATAGCTAAATAAATAAATAAATAAATAATCTTTATTTCAAGAGGATAATCCCATTAGTTAAAACTAATCTTCCTGAGAGTCCTCAAAATAATAATAACATATTTATAAGTACATACAATATTATAATGATATATTATACACAATATACAATTGTATCTAGATAATAATGAAAAAGCATATTAATTTGCACAATTGATGAAAAATTTGTAACATTTTGTTTTAAAAGATACAAGTGTATTACTCATTTTTATTTCATTTGGTTAACTGTTCCATATTTGAGAACCTGAATATGTAAATGTTTTCTTTAAAAAGTTTGTTTTTGGTTTCGGAAGATTTAATAGTTTTTCATCAGCCGAATGTAAATTATAATTCTGATTACCAATAAAATGAAAGTTTTCTTGTAAATAGTTAGGAACCATATCATTTAATGATTTAAATACAAGTATTGCCTTTTGATATTGAATGCGTTTTTCCACATTTAACCAGTTTAAACTATTAAACAACAAACTGGATGATGTCATTATGTCAGCTTCTACTATAACCCTAGCAGATTTCTTTAATAACTTATTAAGTTTATTTATTCCACTTTCATAGCAACTTCCCCATATATTGCAACAATAATCAAACAATGGCAGAATATAAGCATTAAAATAAATAATACGTATATGCATAGGTAAATATTTTCTTATCTTTTGTAATAAATTGATTCTATTTGATATTGTACATGACATTTTATCTATTTGCTCATTCCAATTTAGGTTTTTGTCGATATATAAACCGAGAAGTTTTTCACAATCTGCATTCTCTATTTGTTCATCTGAAATTTTGATATCTAAACTGTTCCCAGTTGAATAAAGACTCTGTTTTGAACCAATAATCATTGATTTACACTTTTTGGCATTTAGTTTTATACAATTTTGCGAACACCAGTTTTCAATTACATGAATATTATTTTGAAGGTTAACAGTTAACTGAAGTTCATTATTACCTTTACTATGTAATGTAGAATCATCTGCATATAAATCTATTAATGAATTTTTTATGTTCAGTGGTAAATCATTGATATATAAAATAAATAACAGAGGGCCAAGGATAGAGCCTTGTGGTACACCAGTTTTTATGCATTTAGTATTAGACATGACGTTATTACAGCCCGGATGTGCAATGGCGTAGCTGCTTGATGTGCAATGGCGTAGCTGCTTGATGTGCAATGGCGTAGCTGCTTGAAAACTACTCCGTAGAAAAAGTGTGTATTTAACCTGTTGTGATCGGAATTCTTCGAAAAAAAGGTACAATATATTCATTTGAATTTCAAGAAGCTTTTGGTGAGAAATATTTATCTTAAACTGTACCAATTTAAAAATTTTAATTTGAAACGGTATTGCTGTTCATCATGATTTGAAGCGTTTCCAATGAGTAACGTCATAATAGCAACCCTGATTATTCTGTAACGTTTCCTATTGTGTGTGCTACGTTCTGCAATTGTTTAAGAAAATGGCGTCTAGCAACAAAAACAATAAAAGTCAAACATGAAAAAACTTCAAAGCGCAGATAATAATAAAACTGTTCAACATCAAAATATATCAAGAGACTACACTTTAAATAAATCAAAGGCCTTATTGAAGAAACTAGATACAACGAGATCAGAACATTTAAGTTATAAATTGACCGGTGGTGGCCTTAGGCTGTTTTTCAGCACGTCTAGTTTTGAAGTGTTTAAACGGGCATGCACATACTATTTTGAACATCTTAATACAAATGGAGGAGATAACAGAGAAATAGCATTTATTCCGATCAGCGATAAAAATAACAAAAATGCTGTTGAAGAACAAATTAAAGTTTCCGAAAAAGGTTTTGATTCGTTGGGAAGATCTATCAAACGAAAATCTTATTGCATCAATATATATTTCACAACATCTTCTGTACTAGTTAATGGAAAAGGACTGAACACATTTTGTGAAACAGATCTTCCGGTAATAGTAGTTAAAATGAAAGAATGTCAAATCAACGGGAAAGATGTAAATTTAAATGAGCTAAACAAAATTTTCCAAGGTGATTTTAATGGAAAAACAAGGAAAAGAAGATTGCAATAACAATTCTGTAAAAGATTTAAATAAAACGGAACCATTAAATTCCGGTGGTACATGTACCATTCAAATATCAAGTTCCAATAACAACACAATAAAATCAATAAAAGATGATGTATTGTCGAATACAGATCGGGAACTGTCAACTTCGTCAGTAGCTACAACTACAGATACTCCAGATGATATACAAGCAAAATTTAAATATATATATTCGACTAATTCAAATGATAAAAGCACATGTTCAGATGAAATTGATGACAAATTACCACAGTTGAATATGCAAGACTTCATTACAACTCTTAACAAATTAACTACTGTTGTAACACATTTAAAAGACAAAGTTGACGAATTAGAAATATCTATACAAGCAAACAATTTGTCAAATGCGAGTAGTATGCAAATTTTAAATGATCGCATGACAGCTTTGGCAAAGGTGCGCATGCAACATGATCAACAGTCAATGGATAAAATGCAGGATATTGAAGTAGAAATTCAAAATGTTAATAAAAATTTGGATAAAAAAGTTAACATGTTACAAGGAAAAACACAGAGCATAAGTGATAAAATAAAACTCTACGAAGCGGAAACAGTTAAATTACAAAAAAGCTTTACGCAGGTGGAAAATCTCAGTAACCAATGTACCCAAATGTTAGATGAAGATCAAACAATTCCAAAAACAACATTTGAAAATTTATTACAAGAACCTATACATGAACAAGAACAGCTTATCTTTGAAACAGAACAGCCAATAAATGCTGATTTAATTAAAGAACCACAAAATCCTGTGTATGACACACAACTGAAACTGCCTTTATCAGGAAGTAGAGTTTTAATTGCAGGAAGTTCAGTTCTAAAAGGAATAAACCCATCTAAATTAAAAGAGTATATAGATGTTCATGTTCACAGAGGAGCAAATGTTCTAGATTTGTACGATGACATAAGAAGTATGGATCTGAGTTCATACAATACAATGATAATTCATGTCGGGGGCAATGATGCAAGCAGCAAAATGAATGTACAACAATTTGTGGACATTTACCAAGAAATTATTAACTATGTAAGAAGTCAAAACTGTCCAGCAATTGTGTCTGGAATATTGCCAAGGATACAATGTGATGTCACTGAATATGACACAATCCTAAAACAAATGTGTCATCATAATGATGTCAAATTTATATCAAATTATGAATCTTTTGTCTACAAGGATGATCATATAGCTAAATCATTTTACACTATAGATGGCATTCATCTAAATAGATATGGAACAATAAAGCTGTTGACAAATGTAAATAAAATAATTAAAGTATTCAAGGGAAAACCACAACAGTATCATTTGAACCAACAAAACAGAAATAGATTCCAAAGTTCCGGTCACCAATATTACACAAACAACTTCAGAAGGAGCCCTATAAAACCAAGATATCAATCACGGAGTAACATGAACACAACAGAAAGCAGAAGAAATTTCAACCATTCAGGAGTCAACACTAAAAACGTAAAGGACATGAATGATCTCAATATGAACTCTCGTGACTCGTGGGGAAACAATAATGCGCTAAATAGACAAAATGTAGATAGAGCACCATTTTTTTACTTCCATTTACCAAATTCTGTACGTAAGTCAGATTATATTCAGAGGTGAGCATTTAGCTTGTTCTAATTTTTCAAACAGATATAACATTTTAAATCTGTTATGTGATCAATGTAGTAGTATATAATGTACATGTAATATAAACAACATTAATAATATTAATTGGGGAAAATCTCAAAAGAGAAATAGAAAGAGTCAAAATAAAACACATAGTTCTGTAAATAGAAGTAGAAATAATGAAGCAAGTTGGTTACTTAAAAAAGGGTTTAAACTAGGTTGTTTAAATATTCCAACATTTACAGCCCAAAATTGAAGAAATAAAATTCCTATTAAAATATGAACAATTATTTGATATATTTGGTATGGTAGAAACATTTTTAAATGATGAAATTGGTACCGAAACATTACAAATTGAAGGTTCTTAACAAAATAGAAAGAAAAGATAGAAACTCTATTAATGATGGCGGAGATGTGATTGCATACATACGAAATAGTGTATGTCACCAGAGAAGAATCGATTTAGAAATAGGTAGTATTGAATCTTTATGGATTGAAATTATTTTTCCAAACACAAACTCTATTTTAATAGGCATTTTTTATCGTCCACCGAGTTCATTGCAATCTTGGATTGATTCAGTTGAAAAAGAAATAGAAAAAGCGTCAGCAGAAAATAAAGAAATTATACTTTTAGGAGATTTCAATATAAACTATTCACATATAGATCATACAGTTGTCGGAAATCAAAAATGGAAGGACTGTATTAATTTGTATGGTTTACAACAAATTGTACATAAACCCACAAGAGTAACAGATAAATGTGGAACTACTATAGACCATATTTATACTACCGATGTAGACCATATTACAGAAGTAAATGTGCCTAGTTATGCTGTCAGTGATCATTATCCTGTTTGCGTAACAAGAAAACTTAACCCAAAAATATCAAAAATGGAGCATTTGTCCATAGAATATAGATCATTCAAACAATTTGATAAAAATAAATTTATTGAAAATTTAACAAATACTCCTTTTCATCTCATTGAATCGATTGGAGATGTTGATGAAGCAGCTAATTATTGGTGTAATCTATTTCTGAGCACCCTAGACAAGCATGCTCCTAAGAAAATTAAAAGGGTGAAAAATACTCAACAACCAGAGTGGTGGACTTCTGATATAAATAGCGCTAGACACCAAAGAGATTATTTTCATAGAATTG